AATTGGCATACGTGCATACTGTGCGTATTGTCTCAATATAGCCTTAATTCACAAGCATGGTAAGCAGAGATGGATAGTGGCTAGTAGTGGAATCCAGAACGCGCGTTTCGTCCTATTTGGGACTTGTCAGCTGGATGTACCTGCATCTCAGAGTTTATGTTCACTCTGGGTCTCGAACCAGTACCGTTCGCATCAAACGCCATCGCGTTATCCACTCAGCTACTGATTTCTGATAGCCACTTGCTTGTACAATGAGGTGAAGTTTGAATTCACTTAGTATTGTTTGTTCGAATCTTCCCATTGATATCTAGGACTGCAACTGATCAGTCTCTTATTGGCATATGTGCTTACAATGCTTATGAAATAAGGCTTTATCGAGGCAATACGCACAGTATGCACATATGCCAATAAGAGATTGACCAGTTGCAGTCCTAAACATCAATGGGAAGATTCAAACAAATAATAGTAAGTGAATTTGTATGTTTAGTAGATTTATTATTAGCTTTCTATGAATTAATTCAAATATTCAATCACCCTACTGAGAATAAATAGTCCTATTACGCAAAAAATTAATTGTTTATTTTTCATCATACAGATATATTGAAAATGAAACTCCACATATGTGGTCTATGCTACTCATGTCTGTCAACATAAGTAGTAGTAATGCTTGGAAGTAAAAGACTAAAAAGATTGAATTGAAAAGAACAGAAATGTAAACATAGAGTTATTGTAATAATAACAGGAACGAAGGAACGAGGAAGTTTATAAGAGACGTGCAAATGAAGTATTCATTGGGATTATTTGAATTACTTAGATTTTCATTATTAAACTGTCTAGACTATTATATGCAAAATTACGAAAGTTATTTTTAAAAATATTCCCATCAACATATTGATTGACACAGTTTAGAAAACATGGTAGTAATCTGATATGATTTACAGTTTCTGAGAACAGTTACAGGATAAACACGTTTTTACCTTCATAATCTAGTCAATAAGAAAGCAAATATAACATTTAAAAATGTGATAGCACATTATACTTGTGGAAACAGAATTCATAAATTGCTTACACTAACTATTCGTCACAAAAGTTTTAAGATTGTGAAGCATCTAGTGAAAAGGAAAATGTCTAAATGGAGTTTAAAGCATTTGAAAGTATAACATGATTATGATAGTATACATCGTTATAGATATCAATCTTGTAAGTAGTATAGTTGTCTTTAACAAACTGTGTATGTAGAATAAACAAAAATGCCTTAGCTACAATATCATTCTTCATTTATTCTAACACATAAATGTATATGATTGTTTTCTTCTTTTTCACCGGTTTACATTTAACTCTCATGCTAGATGTACATTATTTTTGTTTACCAATTTAGTGTTCACATATACAATAACAAAATCCTATTACTTACATTAAAACAAAAAAATTTAAAGAGAAATATATCTGAAGGGGTTTTGTGGATATTATAGTAATTTTTTAATAGTTGAAATTATGAATCAATTGAAGCTAGACCACCATGAAAAAGCTGGAGGCACTGAAAGGCCATTTTGTCCTATTGTGGGACTCCTCAGCAGTGCACATCCACGACCCTACCTCGCGGGATTCGAACTCAGGACCTATCAGTCTTCAGAGGAAAATAAATAAATTGATTATTTCATCGTTTACAGTCACGAAGATTTGTTTATAATGGAATATATTTCAAATGTCATATTTTCGGCAACATACGTTTTTTTTTATTTACAAGTCAACTGGATATTTCGAATATTGAATTAAGTTAGATTAGAATTCATAGAATATTGGTGGTACATTTACTGAATGTTGTTGAATATTGTCAATCAATCTATCTTCTCCTTAGAAGTTAATAATTTTCTTGGACAGTGAAATCTTTTGTGTAAGAAAAAACCAATACGATCGTTAATGATTCGCAAATTAAATAGACTATAGTATGTATGCCGAATGTATATACATACATGTCCTACCTAACTCTTTACTTTACCCCCATTTTAATTCATTACATATATATTTTGTTTTACTACAAAATGCATACAGATTACATATTTCACTTCGCATATTGTTCGTACCGTTTTTTTTTGTTGCTTTTATTGGATTTTCGTTCAATCATTTTATCCAATCCCCTTATTACCATCATGTGTAATTAGTAACAAAAATAAAAATTTCTTTTAATTACTTTATTCACATTATAATCTCTTTTTATTTGGTTCATTTTTAATGTGCTGTTTTTAATATATAAATGAGCATATAGAATTATAATAAAAGCATTCAGGAGATAAACCTTTCTTTTCGACGAAAACAGCTGTATGGTAAATATATGTCTATAGAAGGACAGAGAAGATTGCATCATAAAATGATTCAAGATTTTAGTTATCCAATGTGGTTACTTAAATTTGCCTGCGCCTGTGGGGCAAGTTACTTTGACTGAACAAAGCAATCACTTTCTAAACATATTTCATAATAATACACAGTGTAGCTTTTTAAGGAGGAATGCAAAACAATCACCAGATCATTACAGGAGCATCTAATCAACTCTAATCACGTCGCTCCGAAGGAGTCTTCTTTTGAAATAATCTACTGGATCGAATGGAGATAGCCTCAAAAACTTATGCACTGTTGAGGCATTGATGATTCAACAATTCAAGCCTGAACTCTGTGTGTAAAACCGATATGTCAAACCTCGCAGCCTTTCTTTGTCCTAACTCCTTTCTGTAGTATGTTTTGGGCTTTTTTTAATAGTGTTTTGTAATTTTAAAATGTAATCAGTTATTATCACCCTCTGACAATTTTTCATGACTATCACTTAGTTGTTATTATGACCATTAGATTTTTCATTCTTTCTTCATATCAGTCGGGCGAACAATTCTGACCTGTAAATTGTTCTCGACGTAATATTCTTTTATAAACCCTTGATAGATACATAACCACGTTTGGAAATGAAAGTCTGGAATCACGCTATAATGCAATCTTCATTCTTCCATAGACATATATTTACTATGCAGCTATAAATACGAATGTACAACTTAAGTAAATGTTTTCGTCGAAAAGAAAGTTTCCTTCACTGAATTCTCTTTATTTTTATTCAATGACAAAATGGGTTATTTTTATGGGGATATAGCTTGATAAATTCATTGATAAGAGATCTGTTGGTTGCATTCTATATTTTCAGGACCTGACAATATACCAGCTGAAGATTTGAAGTTAGACATAGAAGTAACTGCAAGTATGCTTCAAGTTCTATTAAGGAAGATCTGGGAAGATTCAGTATATGTGTTTTTAGAATTGCTTTCAAATTTTTAATCGAATTCATGAACCAAATGATGTTAAACCACCATTGAAAACCTAGAAGCACTAGACAGCTGTTTCGTCTTATTGTGGGACTCCTAAGCAGTGCTTATCCACGATCCCGCTTACAGGATTCGAACTCAAGGCTTTCGGCCTCGTGCGCGAGACCCATAGAGAAAATTTTTAATTGTTGAATAACCATATTCAACTTTAATTAAATTTACTAATTTTATTTATCTCCAAAGGTAATTTTCTGTGAAAATACATCGTTTTGTTGTGTTTACTCAACTGTATACCATAGCCCCTAAGTGCCCCGGTACGGCCGAAAGTGGGGAGAGTACGCTCTCCCTCTCGAAATGCTCTCATATGGCCACGCGTATAAAGCCTCTGACAGGGAAGTCCTACCCATTGAATTCTCGTGGCATTACCGTTGTTAACAAAATTGAGAGTACGAAAAGCGAATATCCGACACTTTAACCGAGTTGGTGGACACGGAACGTCCATCTAGGGGAGTTGGAAAACCCTGATTCCAAACCAATGGTTCACATGGGCTGGCTCCAGTATCCTGAGGGAACAAATGACGTATGAATTAATTACTAGCCTTGTGGATCAGACCTTTAGATCAAAGGCTCGGAGTGTGGTCCCCTAAGAAAACTATCTGCTTCCGTTTGGGCACCTGTGCAGTATCACAGCCCTCACACAAATCGAATGAGATTTGTATGGCGCATATGTATCTGGTGATTCTTTGTACTGATATCTATGTGTTTAAATAATAATAATAACATGGCATAACATAATAGATAAGTTGATAAATATAGTTATGTTAATTGCTCTAAATTTTAAATTGTGCACTTAATTCTGAATTAAATAAAACTTAATTATATATATATATCCAAATGGCTAGTCTCATAGATTGTACTTATAAGTACTAAAAATTATCACATAGTTATGGGTGGGTTAAAATCCTCTACCTTTTCCATTTTTCACATAACAAGCCGTATTTAAAAATATTATCTGTTGCCAACTACAACTCAATTTAAAGTTAAATATTATCATTTAAATAATAAGGATTGTTTTGGATTTACATAATTTCACTAATTGTCCATATGTAAGTCAATGGAAATTTCATAATTTCTGTTATATAATTAAAAATAATCTTATAGTTGAAATCATGAATCAATTGAAGCTAGACCATCATGAAAAACCTGGAAGCACTGGACGGCTGTTTCGTACTATTGTGGGATTCCTCAACAGTGCGCTCCCTCGTGAGACTGATAAATCCTGTGTTCGAATCTCAGGAGGCGGGACAGTGGATGCGTACTGCTGAGGAGTCCTATACTTAGACGAAACGACTATTCAGTGCTTCCAAGTTTTCCATGATTGTCTAGCATCAATTGACTAATGATCTCAACTATTAAAATTATTAAGTTTTTGATTAAGATCATGAACATCAATCAGTTGATGATCTCATTTAAATCCTGTAATTTGTTTTTTAATAAAGCAATTAAATAATAAATATGTTAAGTAGGTAAAAATTCAGTGTATCACATTTTTATATGAATATTTTAATTAAAAATTAAAGGGAAAATATTTCTGAGAACAGTAACATTCCTTGAAATAATTAACGTTTAATATAAACAAAAATATTTAAAAAAAAAAGGAACAAGAACACTGACAACAAAATCGATTGTTGAACTTACTTTGTCCATCACATTTTCTTATGATTGTATCAAGAAATGTATTTTGTGGTGCAAGTAATCCACGTCGAGTTGTAAACATTATTACAATCTTATAAAGTTATGTAATAAATGTAAAATAAAAAACAAACAAAAAACGATTAACTTAAATGTTTATCTTCATTGTAATGTGATATATATAATAATTTATTCAGTAGTTTATTAAATAAGTAGTCAATATTCAGTAATGAAAAATATTTTTTTTCTTAATTAACCATTTCCACTTGTTATAGTCCATTACTTTGGCATGGAAAGTGAAATATAAGTCAAAATCCATTTTTAGACTACATCTATTTTATCGTTTGTAAATTGGCATTATAATGATTCTAATAGAGGTATTAATTCCATGATTTACACATCAGGAGAAATAGCTTATCATAACTTTTCATTTTGTGTACTTCAAATGATGAGGCATTATTTCCAAGATGAGTATGAATGAGTATTCTATAAAAAAAAAGAAGTATCTTGTAAATGAATCCTCTGTGTAATAAACAAAATATTTGAAATAAATTAGAAGTAATAACATATATGTAATATGTTTGTCTCACAATCAAGAAATCATTTTACTGGTTAATTTATCCATACATGCTTTTTTTTTGTTTTTAAGGCATCACACCCAAACTGCTCAATGTAATTTTTATTCATAAGCTTGTGTATTAACAGTATAAGAATGAGAATGGAAAAAAAATATAAGTAAATAATTGATATAGATAAGTGTATATACCAGATTCATAACAAAACTTTTGTAAGATAGGTTATTTTAACACATTTTATTCACTTTATCTTTTGAACATTCAATTTGGAAATGATAATTCTATCAATCAGACATTAAATATTTATAAATAGCATATTAAAAACTTAAAGATAATCATATAGTTAAGATCACGAGTTAATTGAAGCTAAACCATCATAGGAAACCTTGAATCATTGAACAGCTGTTTCGTCCTATTGTGGGACTCCTCAGCATTGCGTATCCACGATCCCGCCTCGCGGGATTCGAACCCAGGACCTACCAGCCAGAGCATTTAACCTCAACTAATCAACACAAAATTGCGCGACCAACTTCCAGGTTTTCCATGGTGGTCTAGCTTTAATTGACTCATGATCTTAACTGTGTAAAATTAATAAAATCTCCACAAACCCCCCTTGTGTTAAAAATAATCAACTGAAATACATGTTATTTATTAGAAGAGGGATTTTGTGGATATTATAGTATTTTGTAGTTGAGTTCATGAGTCAGTTGAAACTAGACCACTATGTAAAACTTGGAAGTACTAGACATTCGTTTCGTCCCAGTATGGGACTCCTTGGTAGTGTTCTTTCACGATCCCACCCACGGGATTCGGACTAAAGACCTTCGGTCACATGCACGAGCGCTTAACCTGTAGACCATTGAGTCGACATCCAAAGGTGTTAATGTCTCACTTCAACAAATCCACAAAATTGCGCCACCGTCCATCATTATCTTCAGTAAGTTACTATCAAATAGAGAATGTGTTTATTAACAATTAGTCGTTATAAATAATTCTTGTTTTGACTAGATTTTGGTCGCCTCTTATACTTAACTATATTAACTTATAATTGAAATGTATAATTATTTGTTTTCTAGAAAATATAATTCATTGTCATTGGGCTAATTTCATTATGGATTATGCGGGAAAATATTTTAGACAAACTTCTTTTCAACTAGTAATGTCAGTCAAGATTAATAAAAGCATAATCAACAACACATGTAAATCAGCTCAAATTACCATGCACTATATATATATATATATAAATAAGGGAAGAAAATTACTAAGATGAAGATCAAACAAATTAGAATAATAGTAATATTTATGTTGCTAAAATTTGGGATAGATTGATTATGAAAAGCAATCATTAATTCTTATCTGGGTTTCATCAGTTGTATGTACTTCTTTCCCAGCGTTCGTGTTTTTACCAGGACTTGCCCAGTACGTTTTGCTAGAAACGCCAAAAACCCTATTTATTTAGCTACTGACTTCACATAGCTAGGGAATTACTAAACGTTTATTATGTTTATATCATTTCCAAGATGAAATGCGTGCCCTAGATTACACTGCTAGCCATAATTCATTTGTTCTCAGTAACTTGTATTTTAATGACTATTGAGGAAATTTGAAAAGCATCAATTGCTAATACTAACAACTGGATAATTCAAACTCTTCCTAAAAACTGTATATTGAAATTCGTTAACTGTAAAGAATATGATTTAAAATCATTGACTAAGCCGTTAATCAAAAGGTAAGAAAAATAAGATTTCAGATCATTGGAAACATAAATCATCAATAAATCTGCATCACTTTAATTTATCTTAAGTCATGCTGTCTAAGCGGGTGCTCATGAGTAACGCATGTCTCAGTCACCTGAAAACAAATCATCTAAAAAAGGAAATTATGTAATAAATACTGTTATCGTTTGACAAAATAGGCTTTGGAGGATTTAAATAAAAAGGTTCATTAAAGAGTTTCAAAAATATTGAATCTTGCGAACAACTATACACAATAATTAGACTGTTTCGCTTTAGTATTCACAAGTCTATAAAATATTTTTCTTTTAAACAGAATGTATAATGTGCTAGAAGTGTTAATCTATGTGAGGCCTAGTCATGAGATCACAGACAATTTCATCCTACTATTTGACCAAGAACAACATATCATTAACACAATTTATGATAATGCAAAATACAGACTGAACATGAAGCCTTTAGAATAATAAATCCAGTCATTTTTATACAGTACATAAATATGTATTCATCTCATGATCGAGTGAATGACAATGAATCAATAAAAAAGAGTAACATTTCTCTCGATAATCACAGGTTATCATGTATGATCATATCTAGAATTTTAATGCTTTGATAACGTTAGATTGCGAAGGTAATCCAAAGAAAAAATCTATGTGGTCATTTGTGACTTCAGTTTGAAAGTTCAACTTCACTATATCATCCACTGGATTTTTCGAAGCTCTAGTGTCTTTAGGAAATAGATCACTAAGTTATAAAGTAAGAGCTCCTGACAGATATCATTTATACTAACATTTACGTTAAGCATTCTCCCATATTAACCAAATTTTTTTGATACCTTAGGCATAGAATAGATCAGCAGATTGGTTGTAGTTTTTTTTTCTACTTTACAAGTTAAATCCATTTTTTACTGAGCCAAGTTTAATTACATTTACGATATTCCAGGAAATTTAGAATTAAAACATCAGTTGATACAGTGGATAAGAACTAAGTCTGATAACTAATTATCATCAGTGATCTACAAAACCTGTCTACCAATCTTTTACTCCTTAGACTAATTTAAATTAAGGTTAGTTGTATTCTATGTTTCACAACACACAAGTATGTGTCACTTTGTCACACTAAAGAAATAATTCTACTATTTTGTATTTCAATATCCGTTCGTAAAGGAGTTTCTGTCATTAACTCAGTTTTTATGAATGACCATCACTCGAATGTACTATTTTACATCTATTTAGGCGACTGATCACAATATATATTCGCAAAACTAACACAATATTTATTGTTACAATAGCTTTGAAAAAATTAAAACCTTTATTCGTTAATAGTAAATACTTCAATTACTTATTAACAGACAATCGTTATAATACTGATATTGCATTTTTGCTTATATTATATTTAGTTTAAACGAAACAAGGATATCAAATGACACCAAGTCGAATTCCGAAAAATGTATCAGTTCTCATTATTGATGACACGCTTTGCCGAATGATACGAACTAATTTCTAATTTCTTCCAACCATCTAATGTTCTCATAATTATGCACAGAAAAAATCGACTATCGGTTCAAATAATAATATGCCCATTTAATGTGTGAGAGAATTATTTTTCAGTAGGACTGTAAGATTGCTGAGCAGTAACACACATTGACTAAAGTTTAATATGAAAACCATTGGATGCCAGTCCAGTAGTTAAGAGTTTAAGCGCTCTCTGATTGGACCGAAAGTTATGCGTTTAGTCACTAGTGTGGTCGTGGATATACACTACTGAGTGGTCCCATAATAAGACGCAACAACTGTCTCATGTTTTCTAGTTTTCACTGGATGTCTAAATATGATCTGTTCGTGATGTGAACTATAAAATTGAACGCCCCCCTCCCAATCCGCCATTATAAAATTCATGCAAAGATAATTTATTCAAAACAGGTAACATAATTTTACTAAAGAATGCTTCTGATAAGAAGAAAACTCCAAAGAAACCAAAGAACACTTATCAGCTTATCGTGGGTAAAGTACATGCCAAGTACTGCTAATAAACTGCCATGATATAATAAAATTGATATATATTCCAAAGTATGTTCATACTATAAAAAATAAACGTAACTGTAATAAGAGAATATTTATCACACACCCAAAAACTTGTTATGACTGGGGGGATGTCAGGAGTCACAATAACCGTCTGATAAATGTCGACCGTAATAATGAAAACAAAAGATACGTAAATTTAAACAAGTTGATATTCCACGTCACAAACTTCAGATTTCATAATCTACTGAATAGTAGTGAATTTTTAAAATTTAGTTAATTGTTGTCATTAATGAAAACTTTTTTCAACTCCTAAAACTCAAATTAAATTTTTTAAACAAAAATTTAAACCAACAAAATTACTCAGTTTTATATTGGTTGTTTGATTCTTCCTATGGATGTTTAGGACTGCAATTGATCAGTCCCTTATTGACATATATGCATCTTGTGAGGACTGCCTCGATATTGCCTTAAGCCACATGTATTATAGGCAGAGATGGATAGTAACTAAAAGTGGAATTCAAACCGAGCGTTTCATCTTATTTTGAACTAGTCAGCTCGATATACCTGCATCACAAAGTTGGTGTTCACTCCAGGGCTCGAACCTAGGATCTTTAGCTTCTAACATCATCGCGTCCAACTAATCAGTCCTAAATAAGACGAAACGTGCGTCCTGAATTCAACTCCTAGCCACCATCTGTATTTACTAATAAAATTATTGTCATTTCGTGTCTTCACTTAATCACTATACAGTAATAAAAACTATAAATATCAGAAATCACAGTTTATTGAATACTGTAGGTCCAGTATATTAATATAACCACTAACCTAGTTGGATTTATATCTTGACTCCTTATATACGGTTCCTGCAATACTTGAACGGAAATGGTTTATATTTTTTGACTAGTTTTCTTGTCTTCATTTCGGGCTTAAACCAATTTCTTAGATTTGCAAGTAACCATCACTCGATCACATTTAAATCAAATGATCAATCGTACGTATTATAACGATTGAAAGAGGTTTAAAATTTTTAACATTACCGGGAACAAACGATTAGTTAAAATTACATATTCATCTATGATAAATATTGTAGAATATAAGTATGTTATTTTTTGCATAAAACAAATTATATTCAACTGGATATTTCCTTCTTCTGAAACTCGTTCGTTATGAACTAATTAGTTATTCTAATTCATAAG